ATCTAGCTTCTCGAGATCCTCCAAATCCAACATTTTTAAAACAGTTTGTAGACCTTTCATCATCTGAAAGAAGTTTCGTTCGTCATTGTCCTTAGCATTATTAGTATTGAAAGGATCTTCATTATTATTCCCAGAACCACCATCTTCAGAATCAGAGCTAGAGGAAGAAGGGAAGAACTATCATAGTGAGAAGAGTAACGATGACCTCATCGTTTACTACTTTTTTTTTCTTTCGACTTTTTATCTTGCGAATGACTAGTCTTATATTTTGATTTTGAGGTGTGTGAGAGACTAGTATCCTTTTGGTCAGAGGTTCCTTTTTCATCTGAGGATTCCTTGTAAGTTAGTTTTGGTGGCTTTTCCGTTCCTCCATAAAAGCTAAAAGTTGTTTCGTCAAAGCTTAAAGTTCAGTTACTGGTATCTTTTCCACTAGGAGTGGTATTAGCAATTATAGTTTCCTTTGGTGGGTAGAGACCTTGAAAAGAGAAAAGATTTTCTTCAGCAGATTTAGAAGTGTCGCTACTTTCAAGAGTTATTTTCTTTGAAGGTCCAGTCATTCTGAAAGGAGAAGAATTTTAGCTTGGATTGAGGTAAGTAAGTAAATCACCTCGGAATTTCTTTTGGAAGAAATCAGTTTCAGCTTGAGCTCGAATACAATATGTAACTGCTCGCTCAAAGGTTGGTATTGGTGTGTTTCTATATCTTAAAGTATTAAGAGTTTATTTATAATATATTTCTCTTACGCTAGTGAATTCTACAGCAATCGCAGTTTGAAAAGCCTTTAAGCTTTTGCTAGTATACAGTAATGCTTTTAAAATCTTTTGTGCCCACTCAAAGAAGTTAAGAAAAGATTGCGGTATCTTCTTAGGTGGTGGGTTGCAAGCAATATAGGATGGGTCATCAGTTAAATTAAATTTATTAGTTGATTTTCTAAAATTACGCTCTTGCTTATTGTGTATAATTGAATAGTTCTGTTAGTATTTTATCAATTTTCTGAAGTTGTTCATAGAGTATTTCTCATAGTTTTATGCAAACAGAGGAAGAGGGTCCTGTCATCATCACCAAATGTTAACGTGCAATCTTTTCAGGTTGCAACTGTTAGACACGGTGTTAGAGGGTTGACTCTTTTATAGTTCACGTAATAATTCCAGTTAGTTTATGATAACCTTAGCTAATTTACTACCAGTTTATAGGTTTAAATTAAGTTTATTAAACGCGAGCAGCTTCAATCACAAGTTACGAGTTTTCACAATAAGTTGGAGAAGAGTTTTAGATATGAGGTAAGAAATAAGAAATACTTTATTGAGATGAAAAGAAAATAATAAGATAATGATATATGAGAGAAATAAGAAAGAGAAATAAGAAACAGAGGCACATAAGATGAAGAGTAGCGTTACACTATCTTTTACAAGAGAGAAGTTCTATACAGCCGTCGGTCCTATCTTTCTAGTGAACAAAAGGGGTTGTATTTATATCTATTCTATTACATATTTTGACATATCTAATATATTAACTATGTTAACTATATCAACTATATTAACTATATTAGACATATCTGATATGTTAGACATATGAGCTATATTAAACATGTTAAACATGTTAAATATATTTGACATTATCGACATTTGTACTTCGCCACATAATTGTTAATTTATGATCGTCAAGATCGACACCCGGTTATAATATTATTATAATAAAGAAACTTTGAATTATAAGATATTGATTTTTACCTTAAAATCATAATTGTATAATACTAGTTCATTATTTTTAAGTTAATTTATACTGATAAATTATTAAATTTCTATCTAATAATATATAAAAGAATATTGGACTATTAATTTAATTAATAGTAAATACCATTTTTAAAATAAATTAATATTTTTTAGCATGAATTTTATGATTTAAAATATAAAATATTTCTTTTAAAGTTTAATTTATTTTGATATATTTTAAATAATTTAATATATAAAAATTAGTTGTCAATAGGTTATAAATAAGATAGGTTAAATTTTAGCTAAATTTTGTCTAATTTTTAATAAATGTTAATTGATTTGGCTGATTTTTAATGATTTAAAAATTTAAAACTAATTTATCACATATCTGATTTTTTTGATTTCAATTAATAATATTATTTTTAAATTTTTAAATTTTATTTTTTTTTAGTAAATGAATCATAATATTTTTATTTAACAAAAATTTTTTAGTTATTTTAAAAAAATAATTTAAAATTTTATTAAACTTTTATAATTTTAAATTTATCTAATTTATATTTATTTTTAAAGTTATTAGTATTTTAATAAAAAGAGTATTTTCTAAGAGAACTGATCTAATTATACAAAAAAAATGTAGTTTATTAGCAGAAATAATTAAAGTATATATATCTTTCTTATAGTTTAATAGAAAATTATTTTAAAAAAAGAATAAAATTTTTTATTTTAAAATGTTTTTTTAAAATAATTAATTTTAAAAACATTTAGTTTTAATTTTTTTATTTAATTTTGAATTAAATAATATAATATATTAAATAAATTTATAATAAAATTTAAAGTAAATAAATTTTTTATATTTAAATATTTATAAATTAATTTAAATTTGATTAGGCTCAAAAAATTCAACTCAAAATCAAGTTGAGTTAAATTGAGATGAGTTTAAAATTTATATAATTTGAATTAAGCCAAATCAAAAGGTTTTAATTTAAATAATATTGATTTTTCAACTTGATTTTAATTTGACTCATTCAGAATTCTACTTATAATATTTTTATTTTAAATTTTTATTTTTAATATTTAAATTAAATTTATACTAATGAAAATTTATATAGAATTTTTATTATTATATAAATTTAAATAAAACTATATTATAAATTTAAATAAATTTATATATTAGATTTATATATAAAGTTTCCTTTTGTTTTGATTGGTCAACTAAAAATATCCTTTGGTTTATCCTTTTGGTTAATTAACGGTTAATTAACCAAGTTAATTAACGCCCATCCCTACTTATAAGTAACTTTAGATTCTTAATAATATAATTAAATAATAAACATTGTTATATATTTATAAAATTAATTTAATAAAAAGAAAATTTATAGTAAATAAACAGGCAAATTTGCCTGAGAACCCCTGCCATATAAGAGATAATTAAATAAATATAATATTTAAAATTATAAAACTCTTAATAATAATTAAAAAATTCTCATTTTAAAATGATTCCAACCGTTTTTTTTTTTAATATATATCTTTCAATACTGTATATATTTATTTGTTTTAGATCTTCAATCAATTGGGCGCGCGGAATATAATTTACTATGCCTCGTGAGTCACACTTTGTTTAATCTTACATTTGTAAGTTTAGAGCGACATATGTCATCTGAACAACCGAAAAGATTAATCATGTTTATTTATAATCAAAAAATCACATTACTGCTATTAATAAAGATATAAGGGCGAATGGTGGATGGATACGTTATATTCTAGCTTCTTAATTCTCATATTGAGTTAATTCGGTCATAAAAGAGACCGATCAGCCAGCAAACAGAAATTTTGTTTCGGTTAAATGACTAAATTGAGACGAGACGAATACTGCGGCGCATGAAATTACTACGCCATAAAATAAAATTGCTAAACCGAATAGGACCCAAATGAACACCATATAAACAAACAATATAAACAATGAAACGTATAATAAAGTTTGTGTTCTTACTCCTACTTTTTTTTACATAATTTCTTATTACCACCATTTTTTAAACACAAACATTTAAATAACACCCCAAAAAAATTATTTTCGACAATAATTATCGCATTTATTAAACATTGAAAATTCTTGAATCAGGTCAACTTTAAAATGTGTTATGTCAGGCACGCACTATCACAAGTTTCAGGAAGTAATGAACTTTGAGGTTCGTAAGAAAGGCTTGTATTCCAAGAAGCTAAAATTTTACTGTCTCATTTGTTACAAATTAAATTACCATATTACCATAAAAGATCCACCGGCAGATCCATTAAAATTGAGATTCACAAGATTTATTTATTATGAACTTATTCTTTAAAATTACGTAATAACATAATGGACATTTGATTATAGTTAACAATAACATCATAACAATCGCAAAATCCGAAATCTAATTTTAGACTAATTTCCATTAATAGAAATTTAAAATTTTCTCCATAAGAATTACTTACCGTATATACATTTTCACTAATTTATTCAACAAAAGAAATGCCTTCATTATTTATATAATCTTTTATATACAAATAAGTCTCGAATGTATTATTCATATAATGTAAATACATAGGATTGTTCATTTTAACGTAACCATATCTGTTAAATCAACTTATTTGTTTGCAACTTATTGTAAATATATTAGTCGTAACCAACTGCGGGAGCAGAACAAGAAAAGAAATAATTTTCCTTTCGGGCATCAAATAATAAAATTCCGACTTTTTTTTTGAATGGTGATGATCTTGCCTCATTGCTGCGGGTAAATATGATTCGTACCAATCAACGGTAATATTTAGTCGCACTTAATCATAATTATTTCCAAATTTAGTCATAGCTCCTTGCTTATAAAGTGTTACAAACGAAAATAAATAATTTAAAAAAAAAAAAATCATAACTTATGTCAATGTATAAATTTGACCATTCTCCACATTCAAAAAGCGCCATTTTGACGAAATATCCGTAAATTACAACATGCAAGATCAATGGAAGATTCATATTTGTAATGTGCCGTGGCACTCATTTTCAAGCCATTTGTTATAGAGAATAAATATAATGGCTAAATTTGCGTCCTCGGTTTTGCCCGGACTATTTAAAATCCGATTCACATGAAGATCATTTATTTTGTATCACCTGACACATATTGCCAATATATATAGTGGAGGTAGATGAAAAATAACTCAGTAACAACCTCTCCTTTGCCAACAAACAAAACTTCCCCCCGTCGGTTCTTTTTTTTTCGTCGTAAAAAAGACGCTACGATATATACTAAAAAAAAAAAAATGAGCTCGAACGATAAATCTTGTAGAAATTGTGCTGTCCTTAAAGCACAACTTGAACAACAAGAAGACGCCGCAGCTAGATATCTAAAATTCATTCAATCTCAAAATGAGCTTATCCAATTTTTGTCACAAAATAAATCAACGCTTGAAGCTTCCTCACCTCGTAGACATTTTTCTCAATACGCTTATGAACAAAACTATAATGGATCGGATGCGTCTTTCGATCAAGGTATTAGAAGGGCTCGTGGAAAACAGAGTAAGAAATATGTGTAATATTTTTTTATCTTAATTCATTGATTTATAATTCTTTTGTTTTACTTAATGGTCCTATTTTACAAAAGTTCAAATGACTAAAGACTGTCGCGCTTTTATCGGTTCCATTACGAGCGATATCGATAAAGATTCGTTGAAGCATTGTCTTGAAGAAGCTTTTGGACCAGTTGATAGTATTGATATTATATCATCCAAGGTAATAAAGGGAGGCAAACTCCTATTTTTTCGCCGTTTTCCAATATATACTCTTTTTTTTTTTTCTTTTTATTTAATATTAATTTATATTGTCTTAGCATTATTTTTAATTTATGAAGTGTGACCAAATTAAATATGAAAAAAAATCTTTTTTGATATAATAGGCTTGCGCATTTGCAGACTTTGCTTCACCGACTGCATATCATAACGCCGTTAGTGAGGGTGCCGTATTAGTCAATGGAATAGCATTAAGCGTCGAAAGAGTGAGGAAACCCAAACCACGGAAATGAATATAACGGATCATGATACTATAATGCGAGCGATAAAAAAAAATATGGTTAACATTTATCGGTTTTTCTTTATTTTACATCTGTATTTTGCGATTTGGAAGTTACGACGGAATATGTACTCCTTATATCCTTTCTTTACTTCTTTCCTTACCCGTTACTTTGAATCATTATTGATTTTTATAATTCGTTGGCATCCTTGTTATGTTTATATTGAATAATTGCTTATTTTCCTTTCCTTTTGTGTAAAATAATTAATAAGAATTCTTATAAACACACATTTTTTCGCAATGATTCGCGGCGGTTAATATTCAAACGTTGGCGTTCAAAAACTATTGCGATTTGCGTTCACATATTTTATCATTCTTTTTTTTTTTTATTTTTTTATTTTTTTTTATTTTTTTTTTTTTTTTTTTATTGAGCTAATGGAGAAAAATTTGTAAAAAAATCGAACAAAAAAAAAAAAAATTGAAGTTAATTTTTTTAAAAAAAGCAAAAAAAAAGAAGCAAAAAGACAAAAACAAAAAAAAATTATTAAAATTTTAATCCTTCATAGGTTAAAAGAAATTATTAATAATAATAATAAAAAAAAAAAAAAACTTTTTTTTATCTTGACATTTATCTTTATTATTGTCGAGGTAAATTTTCATGCTACATATTAAAGCAATTTATTAATTTCTATAGAATTAGAAATATTCTAATTTTGTTTTTCTAATCTTTATATCTTGATTCTCTAGGGGGTTTATAGAAGTAATAAAGGTTCGGTTATGGGAATAAAGCTTTTACACAAATTTAGTGTAATAGTTTTGGTACAAATAAAAAAAAAAGAAGAATTCCGCACATCATATACCCAGAATATTCCCAAAATGAAATGTTAAAGGATGAAAAAAAAAAAAAATCATTTATTAATTTAATTATTACAGAAAACTTTAAGTTTATATAATACATACAAAATTAAATAAACGCATCTTTAAACTCAAAATTCCATATCGATATTATTAATAATCTTATTTTTATTTCCTATTTTGTATAAAGTTTTAAACTTCCTTTGAGCCCTCTCAACGTAGTTATATCTACATTCGTCATGTAATTCCCTGTAAGTCTCGTTTTCTCTTTTTAACCTTTCAATTTCCCTTTTCTTCTTTTCAATCCAATCATTTCTTTCATGTTTTTTTAATTGATCATGTTCTTTTAATAAGTTTATTACTTCGGAAATAAGAAAGGTTTGCGGCCGCCAGCAAATTGTATCAAATGATTTTGGCAATTCTTGTAAACATTGTAATAACTTTTCAGGTACATTCCATTTAGATTTTAATGTTTCTCCACTAAAACGAAAGAATATATTGTATATATATAATAATAATAAATGATAGATAAAGATTAAATGAAGATTTAAAATAAAGATAACCTCTTATATTCTTACCTTATAACCCTTTTCGTCAAGCATTTCACACAACTGTAAAATTTGCCTTCCCAGTACATGGTTAATTCCATTTTATTTTTTTGATCACAAAAGTGACATTTTTCACATAAAGTCATCAACCAAATATATTGTTGTTCGCTCATCCTTTTAAGAGGTTCTTTATTATAAGTATGTAAGAATGGAGGTGGAAGGGTCAAATTCGGTACGAAACTTAATCTTGAGAGACGCCAAATATCTTGAGTTGTCGTAGTTGTTGACCATAATAATGATCGATACTTTCTACATACCGAGGAAAGTGAATAAAGATCATTGGGGGTTAGGTGTAGGCAAATTTCGATTATAATCTCTGTAGGAATTTTCGTTGCCATTTGTTCCGAATCATCAATCGAGAGGAAGTTTCAAAAATGGGCCTTTTTAAATCAAAAATTATAATTGAATTTGGAAAGTTTCAATTTTGCTTTTTCGTACTCGGAAAATTATTCACTGGTTTTGGAATGTAAATTTTTTTTACCTGAAAAGTTAGGAAATATGAGATTTTTTTCGTGCGACCTTTAAAAAGGACATCTGATGATTTTTTTTAGCCTCGATCGTTTTTAATTTAACCAAAAAAGAAACGTGGTACATGTTTATTGATTGCGCAGTGTAAGTCGTCATTCCTTTATTGGTTACGCAACCATAACAAAAGTCGGATCTTTTTGTGGGTCGTTATTTTCGTTATTTGATTTTTCGTAACGTTATTTTTGATATCCTTTCCTTTTTAAAAAGAAAAAGATTTGCAACGTTTATTTGTTACCAGGAGGAACGAGAAAATACAATGATGTAATTTACAACAAGGATGACTTCTTTGTTAAAAAAATTTTATTGGGGAGGTAAAATTGGGAAATGCACATATTTATTGCCTATTGAAAATGTTAAGTCCAAAAACATTGCTCAACAAACTAGTTTTGAGAGGTTTTGAGCAAGTTTCTTCTTGCGCCCCTTTCCTTTCTTTCATCTTTCCTTCATAATGTACTTTTTTTTATTTTATTTTATTTTTTTACGAGATGTTTTTCTCATACAATATCAGCAAAAACTTACGAGTGAAAAAAAAAAGCTTGAAATATGACAAATCCTTGAAACATGAGTCTGGATTTTCTATGATTTACTATAATTTTAATAAACTATATCCAAAGTCTCAATTCAAGGACTTATGGCCAATCAAGTAATCAAATGGAACGAACAACTCAGTTTAAACAAATCTTTACAGGACTAGGATTTAAAATGAAATATATTTTTACATTATAATAAATATGTAATATAGTAAATCAAATTGATACAAGTCGATCAAGAATCATATGATTTACTATGTCCGTAACTCGATTTTCATATATAACATAACTTTTAAAATGTGAAAATTGCAAAAATGGTTCTAATAGACACTATCATGAGAAAGTGCTACCAGAGACCGTAAATGGTCCACGTGTTTTTTTTTTTGAAAATTAAACATAATATCGTAAAATTAACATTCATCGATACCTACGATACTATTTTCGTTGCCATTTGTTCCGAAT